AAAAATTTCCTTGAGAAATAAAATATTTTTTGTAAGTGTTTGAAACAGTGTTTGAAAAATTGTCTTTTAACTTTATTTTGTTATTCTCRATTCCAGCAGATGTTACTTTTCAAATTATTTAATTAGCTCATTTGAATGTAATTTTGGAAGTGGTTGTTTTCAYCTCCTGCACTTGTTTTCATTTATTAAAGACATAATACTCTTCCTGTTTTATGTTATATAACTGGCTGACTCATTCAAATCTCAATCATTAATTCCATAAGTTTATTGTCTTACTTTACTATAAACATACRCCRRCATGGTATATGAATAACTGAACGTWTAAATGAATATATTTTCATCATCAGGTCCTGAAAATAATTATGGTTATRTGTTCAATACTGGCCCTGTGGACATGCGTTATTATCCCTCACAACAACAACCAGAGGTGAGTAATATTCATAATTGGTTTATGTTTACATTAATCACCATAGCAACTATCTTATATTCAACACAAAGAACAGAAAAGAAAACCACTTGAATACTGAAATTCATTTTGACACTTCAAGTTGCTTTAGTGAATAATTATTATAATTCTTGTTTTTCTAATTATTGTGGGGATATTTTGGTTGTACAGTTATCAGGACATCCAGGTGCCCCTCCAATGAAACCCTTATCAGGTCCAAGACAGAGCGATATCAGCTCYGATGAGCATGGTAAAGGCAGYGGAATGAAACTTAAGCAAAGAGGACCAAAYCAAATACTTGATAAAGGCAGTAGGACAAATATACCACCAAACAAAGGGTAAGAAATGACATTTTGGTGTTCCTCGTCTTTTTAAGTCCTTGTAAAACAGGAACTTGTAGACAGGTAGTGCAACTTGAATTAAACTTTGCTCTTGTAGGGAAGCTATTTACTGATTATTTGAATGTCTTATAAATCAATTTCATCTGATTTGTGAAATGTTTTCTGTCTTAAATTCAAAATACTTCAACATTATGTTTTTCACTCCGAATAGTATGAATTAATTTCTATCAAACACAAAGTACACATCTCAATAAAAGTGTCTCCTTGTTTGTTTATTTTCAAGCCAAAAAAAACTACTGCTGAATCCAAGTCTTGCCTGATTTCTCAGACTGSCATTTACTTATTCTTCAAGATACTTAAAAATCTTTTTTTTCAAGATTTCATCAATTTTGTTGTTTTGGCAGTGTGTGGGATTGTTTGTGAATACTTTCTGATATATTCTTTGTTTGTTTTTCTTACAGTGGTAAAGTTCCAAGAGCACAGTCTTATCAAGATGTATCAAACGGTGACCAACAAAACTTACGGCTTCAACTTGAAGAAAAAGAACAGTCTTTACTAGCATCACAAGAAACTATACAAGTAATTTCAATAGATATTAAAT